TCGGTGTGAAAGCAGAGTCGTGGTTGACGAGTGATCGCCGTGCCCTCTCTTCCCCTCTCTGACTAAAATTAGATCACCTTCTTTCTGTGTAATTATTCCTCCCACTGCAAAGTGCAGACACTCTTTATTTTCCATGACTCACGCTGCGCTTGCTTTGAACTTCACGCCTTCTTAAAACCTTCTCTAACCCGTTCTCCTGAAAAGCTGAATAGTGGGGCATTTTCGGTTTCCGGAAGTACCTTTAGATCCAGTAAGACTAGGAAGATCGAACCCCCAAAACAAGCTTTAACTTTGGACCAGTGTTTCTGCCAGATGACAATTAGAAAAGACAGATGTGCTGAACAGTGCAAGGACACGAGTGAGGAAATCATTAGTGAGGAAGTCATTAGCCAGGGAAGTGAAGGGGAAGTGGAAGAACAGGACGGAGCCCAGGTGAGGAGAAGTTGTGAATATTAACTCAGTCTGGGCGGCGTCGTGGAATTCCAATGAGCAGGAGACCAAAACCTGCTGCTTTAGCCACAACATCATTACAGAAAAAAATGGCAACATTGTATAAAAAAAAACCCAACACACACTGAGACACACTCAAACTGATATATAGTTCTAGTTAAATAATAAAATGAATCATTAATGAAACCGCTCCATATAAATCTAACATGAACGTCAGTAGTGTTTCATATTTCAACACTAGAAAACCTTCCAGACTGTGCAACACCTGTTAATATTCATATTACCACAGCTCACCTCGTTCCTTGTCCATTTCCTCTAAAGGCTTAACCTACATTCCAAATTTTCTAAAGGGACTCAGCTCTCACCCTCAGAGGACGAAGACTTTTAAAATTCATCAGTCACAGTGATGGAGTGCCGAAGAGCACAGTTTTGGATTCAGACTACAATATAAGAACGCCGGAAGCCTGTGTTAGTCAGAAATACACATCAATTATGATCTCTTTCCGATCAGAGCTGGGTTTGAACTGTGTTGACATTTGCTTTGAATTTAGCCCACTGACCCATTTTCAGTGGGACCGAAGAACAGGAGGTTTACACGCACAAGCTGGATGGACTGTTTTGTCCAATATGTGTGTGTGTGTGTGTGTGTGTGTGTGTGTGTGTGTGTATGTGAGATGCAGATCATCAGGCAGGAAAATCCTCCCAGGCTTCAGGGATGTGTGTCTGTGTTTACAAATGTGAGCGACCACGAGGGACAGCAACAAACGAAAGCAATACACAGATCTTAACATACTGCGCTTTTCTCTGCACTGATACTACGCTTTAATGATTTTTCTCCCGCTTCATCCAGAAATGATTAAACCAGCTTTATAGATTCTTTATAGATTTTTTTTTTACAAAATAATAAACATTGCCAAATTATTCCACTCCATCTATGGTCTCTGAACACTTGTATCCCTTTGCCTAGAACTTTCAATATTCTACAGGTCATAGGTTTCCCAAAGACTGGGTCCCGACCCTCAGGTGGGACGCAAGAAATTTTGGGGGGGTCATCTCGCATCATGTTTCCTAGGCATTTACGAAAAATATCTAAAAAAAAAAATTGTGACTTTTGAAATACGGGAAAAAACACTGCTATAGGAAACCACTAGTCTTCTTCTTAGTTCAAAATTCACATTATGGTCATGACGTTCTAAAAGATCATCAGTTACCTCCAGACCAGGCACCTCCTCATCGTTGGGTAAACGCATAAACCGTCTTCAAAATTCTCCAAAAGTTAAATGTATTGTTTTTTTTTATTATTGTCTAAAGGATTAGATTTCAACAAAACAAAAAAGTTGTACCGGTTTATTCAACATAATTCTCATTGGCAGTGACTCCCTAGAACAGGAAGAACGTGTTAGCCACACTGTGCTGTATGGCATCAATAAGGAGGACAGGACTCATCCTAGTGTAAGGGGAAAAAAAAGTGAGGCGCTATGGCAGATCATAAATTCATTAAATAATATATCACCCCCATTCCCTTAAGAGAGTAATAACTTCATCTTATTCCAATTAAATATGACCTACGCTTCACTTTACATTAAAACAAATTATAATTATCTGCCGCTGAATGACGGCGAAACCCAGAAATGGGACGTGGTGAAACTCATTTGTGCAGCCTCTGGAAACAGGATGTGTGAGATGAATAGCAATAAAAAAGAGTTTTTTTCTTTTAACCTTCATACAGATTTTTGGCTACATTTACGTGGTTTGAACCAGAAACTTCAACTCCTCGTAATTGAAACGCTGCCCGCATCGTTCCCAAAGGTCAAGCCTGCAGCGTCCTGCAAGCCTAATCTCTTGTTCTTGTGTTTGTGCGTTCGGGAAAATGACAGTCGAACTCCGAAGTGCTTTTTAAGTACAGTGGTCCTTTGTCACAAACTTAGAAAAGGTCTCTTGTTGTCATGGCGATAATTACAGTTTGGTCTTTGAGGAAATATTATTTGTGCTGAACTTTTGTCAGGATACAATGTCAGACTTAGATTTCAGAAACGTTTCAGATTTCAGACTAACGTTTGACGTCAAATCGGTGGAGCTGCCACTAAACTGTGCGCACTAACGGAGAAAACAGATAAGAAAAAGAGCCAAGACAAACTTAAAGATGTGGCACCATCTGTTGATGCATATCAATGCGTTACGTGTACATGACTGTAGTTGCTGGCACCAGAGCCATCTCCTCCCTTCCCTTCACCACGCCAACAACCCCGCCGCCGCCGCCGCCTGCACCCGCATCAATCTACACCTTCTCTCTTCCATCCCCAGACCCACCACTGAGAAGCTGCCTTTCTCTGACAGCAGGAGAGAAAGCTGATAGCAGAGATGAAGCCGGTAAACACAAATAACACAGATGGTCATGTGTTGGTATGTTTGAGTGTATATACATTACAAACATTTAGTGTGGAGTACAATTCTGTCTGTGGAGTTTGTCGGCTCTATATTTTGGTTGGTTGCTTGTTGATGTTGTATTTTCAAAGAAATGAAAAGTGGCTAAAATTTAATTATATTAATAAACAAGTCAAGGTTAAATGTGCACAAAAACGTGATTCCCTAAAACAGAAATACAAAGGCGGTCGTCTGTTTTGTTAATAACCATACAGCATTTCAAATCGTGAAGAGTTGAACCTGTGCTCGGAGACGTCAGACCAGACTGTGACTGCTCATTTCCAGATGTCACTTCTAATTTTCTTCAGTGAGAGGAGACACTGAACCTCTCTTTTCTCTATTTCCATCCTCATCTGTCTTCCCCCTGTCTGTCTTCAAAGATCACCTCCATCTTGGGAGAACACCAATGACCTGTCTGCAATAATTAATTCACCTTTCTTCACATCAACATCTATTATCCTGCCCAGGGAGGAATGTAGCATGGATTACAGGACTAAGAGCTAGCTGCTGGTTTATTAACATTTTGAAAGAATTTAAGAAATGAGAGTCTTTCTCTTTGGGTGAGAGGAGACATGTTAGGGTTTATGGCATTTCTCATTTCCCACACCATGAATTCCTTCACTGTAATTACTGTCCTGTTCCAATCATAAAACTGTTACTGACCTTCTTTTGGGTCTTGGAGGAATATAAATGATAACCTAACTGGAGTCCCCAGCTGCTTCTCTTCAATCCATAAATTACTCTGATGCTGCTTTTTGTGTGAGCGCTGCAAAAGTGGCCATCTGTCCACACGGTGCGGGCTGACTCAGTCTAATCTGCCTAGATTTAAAAATAAACAGCCAACATCTGGAAAAAGCATTGTTTATTTTTATTTATTTACATCCAGGAGCCACTTAGAAACTGAAGAGTGCTGATTTTTCTCTCTTTTTGAATGACCTATATGCATGTATAAGTAACAGGTTCGCCTAGGTGAAAACAGCCATGATGGCAGTGTCCAAAAAGAGAAAGTTAGCCATAGTCATGATTCTTATTGATTGTTTTATATATATATATATATATATATACACACATACATATTATGGCATGGAGTTCAGGAAATTGATCCTTGAATATATATATATACAAAAAGTTTGAATATATATACAAAAATCCTGAATATTAATTTCCTGAACGACATGCCATATATATATATGTATGTGTGTACATATATATATATATATACATATATATGTATATATATATATAAGTATATATATAACACAAAGTACTGAAGATCCATTATATTATGACTATGAACTACAAGTTGTTGTTTTTTTTTAGTTTTTCTAAAAAGCTGCAAGTTTCCTATTTCACACAACAATTCAGTTTCACTTTAATATTAGGATAAGAGACAAAGTGTGAGGGGATTTTATGGCTCTGCTGTAATGGGAAAATGTGGCCGTGACTAGAGAACAGAGAGTAAAACAGTGCTGTAAAGCAGTCTGGTTCTTTTCTACGTGAAATGCTTTTTATTTCTCACCTGGTGCTTAATTTCACTGTATATCAAAACCACAGAGTGTGTTTTGTAAACATTAGTTTGATTGCCATAAACCATTTAGTATTCATGATTATAGTAAGGATATTAACAACTCCAGACACACCCCATTCACCTCAGTGTTCCATGGAGAAACCTTGTTCTATTCATCTCCACCTTGTGTAAAGATAAACACAGTACTAAACAGTAAAAACAAACATGCAATTACTCAGATCAGCCACTGGTGTCCATCAGGGAGGAGGCTGTTCACACAGTTTCACATACAGTATGAAAAACACGGGCCTTATCTGCCATTTGCAGCAGGGCTTGCAGAGGGGAAATATATTTGTTAGCTATTACAGTCGCTTTATTCTGTCGGTCCTTTTGGCCATCAATCACTGAGACTCATCAGCACAGGGCATCGTCTCCACTGCTTGTAAGGTCCCCGACACACACAGCAGCCTGAAATACAGATTTTTGAAGGTTTATGAATGTCTGAATACCGCATGAAAATTTATCACTGTCATTCAGGTCGCACCGCCTGGAGGCTGCGCCAGGCACAGACTGAGCTCCGAGGAGACGGGGCAGTAAGTGAGGCTGACAGACACGCTCGGCACAGGTCACAGCTTGTTTTATTTTTCAATTTAAATCAAAAGAAGTGGGGGGACAAGGATGCACACTGATAACTTACACCAGGTATAGCTACATATCAACCTCACAACATCACAATATCTCAGAAAAGTGCCCTTGGAAACAGAACTACAAAAATTACAAAAACCAAATGAAAAATAACAGTACGGAAATGCTGCCACTGAAGCCCATCTATAAACATGAAACACAGCCGTAACTGAAAGAACTTTTTTCTCCGTCTGCAAGTTTGGCACTGTTGGAGCTACGTAAATCACTGGCAGGAAAACTGTTGCACGAAAAAGTATTATTATTTGTACACAAAAGTAAACAAAATGACAATAATTCAGAGAAAACTCTACTACAATGTGCCCACACCAAGACTAGCCTAATGCACCACTCTATGTACAGCTCGGTTCACCATGGGATTTTAGAGCATCGACTGTACAACACAGCACGTTGAAAATGTCACTGAATTGAAGCTATATATTAACCATAATGCAAAGTGTCACTCGTTCAACTGAGGGTGTGTTCTGCAGCTGTGATGTTTTACATAGTTTTAAAACGTTTTAAGAACAGAAGTTAAAGATTGTACCTAAAATTTCTAAACAGCAATACAACACCATACGGACTTGTATGTGTATTTGACAAACATGCCTGAGGTAAACACACTTTAGACGTAGGCAAAATAAATAAATACATCATAAACAAAATAGATTGGGGTTAAGACATTCTGAACTGGATGAACTTCCCAGACAGGAAGTGTGAAATCCAGCTTTGACTCATGCCTTTTTACAAAGTGTTATCGGGTAAACACGCGATGTCCGTAGGTTACAGTAAAAATATATAGTATAGTATGACCGTCAATAAATAATAAAATAGAAGAAGTGAGATCAATAAATTAACAAGAGCAGAACAAGGAAACGCTCTGCGCAAAGACAAAGAACATACTGTAAATGAGCAGACAACATGGCCTAGCATGATATTTTCATGTCTGCATGCACATTTTTAAACTCTACTCTGGCATTACACTGTAGCTGCTGCGTTATTGGGAGTCTTTTTTTTTTCTCTACATTTTACATATTCTCCTACATCGATTTCATCTGTGTCTACGTCTGACCGAGTCTGTGTGTCTGCGTGTCTGTATGTCTTTACATCCGCTCTGTAGCCGCTAAGCTAGACTAACTCAGTGGCCCTCGGTGTGTGGCGGTTTGGTGTCGTGTGGCTGCTGCTGCTGTCCGCCAACCCCTCCTGGAAGCCAGGGGGAGACAGAGTGCGAGGTGGTCTGCTTGGCCATGCTGTAGTGGCTGATCACAGTGTAGAATCGGCCCCTGGAGTTGGCGTCCTGGGCAGCGTAGTAGGCCTCAAGAGAAGCTGGGATACAGCGCTTGTGCTGTGGTGATGGAAAAAAACAGATGTAAAAAAGAGAAACAAAATCTTAACAAAAGGAAAAATCCTTATCTTTTGTTCCAATTTTAAAATTATATTTGCCTAATATACAGAAACATTGAGAAGATATTTTGTTATGACATTGAAATGACTTAAGAAGACACAATGTGATGCAGTGACGAATCGATGCCTTTTGAAAAGTTTGAATGTTAAAAATAATTAAAAATAATTTAATAGGATTTAAATTAACTGTTTTCTGTTTTTTTTTTTTAGTATTTAACCAGTAGTATCTGAGCGTTTATGCCATCTGCTGGGAGCAGCAAGATGTTGAGCGCCACTTACACATTAGCATGTAGCATAGCCGTGGCTGAAATGAATCTGTTTAGCTAACTAATTCAAAGCATAAGGCACTTACGCATAAAAAAGCTAGCATCTTAGCATTAGGTATTAAAACACAGTGTTGAGTTGAACTTTAAAACGCAGCTAAATAAATATTTTATTTTTCTGAAATTTTCAGATTTCAGTTGTATTCAGTTTTTCTTACTGCCTTGTTCCAGCTGAGTGAAGGTTTGTCACTAAGCCTACATTTAGCCATACCCGTTGGAGACACCTGACCATTGTGGGTTAGCAGCAGCACTGCTGGTCGGGGCAGCTGTTTAGCAGAGTGGACTGTTGTTTCTGTCTGAGATGATGTGTTTCATCGTTTAATTAATCACCAGCATCCTTACTGGTTGTAAAGCTACCGTGGGCTAAGGCAGGCCGCTAAAATGAGATTTATTTTCTGGCAGTGTTAGAGTGTTCTGACTACAACAGGGTAATTTGCCACTGATCCATTAAACTATCGCTTACTGTAGTTTAAGAGCTGTCAATGATGTCGTCAGGTATTCATTTACACCAAGGCACTCGCACTAAGTCATTGTGGATTGATACCTGAATAGATTTAAAGAGGGAAAAGGTGGTGTGTATTTATGAACCGATTTGTAATTTTTTATCATCATTGATGATTAATATTGTCCGTATTGTCTTAAAAGTACCAGTTTTGGCTAACATACAGCACATACAGTATGAGAAGGTGGAGAAACATCTCTGCTGACGTCAGCCTCGGGCCCAGCAAGGTTGTAAACCTGCAACTTAAATTATTCCTCTTTTCCAACATGTCCAGACTTCCAAGGTGACCGTTTACAAAGCTCAAAAACTTTCTGATGAAAAAGTACCGTATACAGAGGCAAAGTCAGGGCCTTATCCATGCTGTGTAGAACAAAAATATTCACTGTGTCATGGTACACCTTTTGGCCAAGGAAGTCTGTTTTATGGCCTTGGCCGTTTGGTTGCATGTTTAACTAATAGTGGGTCAATGCAATAATTGCATTTACATTTCAACCCTAGGTTACCGATGTTCATGTGCTACTTACTACCTGCTGATCTCTGAGTGATTCTGTAGTAAATATATATTATATTACAAATGTTGTATTACATTATATTTGTTGGCAGTGTGTAGAAATGATAACAAGTACATTGAATATGCATAAAAGCAATTATATTAGTGACCATTAGTATTTTAATCTGATTCATTTCAGAATTAATTGCCTACCTAATGAATGAATTAATGAAGAGCCCTAATTATATGATATGATATATGGCATGATATATCATATGATGTGATGTAATGTGATGTGTTATGTTATGGTACGCCATGCTATGCTACGCCATGATCTTCCATGGTGAACTTACAATAACAGCTCTTTTATATTGTGAATCAGTTGAATCAGACGCCAAACACCATCCGACATGAACTACGCAGTAAGCTGATTTGTCGGTGATGATTACATGTGACGTGAGGTTGATCTCAGCAAATTCTTTAGTTTAAATCTGTACCAAAGACTATAGACTAGATAAAAACCAAACACGATTTTAATGAGCCCAATCAAACCACTGAGTCCTACCTTATAAACGAATCCTTCAGGGCAGGCGTGGTCGTAGGTGAAGGCTTTATAGACCACCAGGAACACGATGCAGGCCAGGAAGGCCAAGGCCAGGATGATCAGAATGGTCACCTGGAGGTAGGAGAAACGGTCGTCAGTGCGTGCATGTGTGTGTGTGTGTATTGGTGTGCGTGAGAGAGAGAGGAAAATACACAATGTCATAATAAATGTAAAGACGCATCTGACTGAGGTGAATGGCTCCTCAGGGCAAGGTGTTCCTGTTGGGTAAAGTGATAAATGATTCAGACGATGACACCGTTAGAGACCACTTTATATCCACGGACCCGCTGGCGTGATAGAACAGGAAACTAAATTTAGCAACAGAACATAGAGTGTCGCAAATAGGAACTTTGTAAAGGGACCGCGTGGTGGGGAAGAGGTTAGCGCTCTTGTCTTACACTTGTGTGTGCAGTAGTCGATCGTAGAGTGTTAAATGAACTTGTTTTCATTTTTCTTTATCATCTTACCTGCTTAAAGAAACAGTACATTGTTGAACTTGATCAGAATTTACAGCAGACAGATTCAATCAGACACACTTCCTGTTTAGTAGTAACTTGTATTAAATGTAATTTGGCCAAACTATTCAGGATAACATCCAATATCCTAGCACAATATTTGACCAAAAAGGCAAACAAACAAACAAAGCAGCACCTCGTGTGTTACTGTTTTAGCCGAGGTACAAACAAACAAACAAACAGGTGCAAGAAATGTGTTTTCTCACCCCAAAGCATTCAGTTCCTTAAGTGTTGTAAATAAGTCACGGAAACAAGTCATTACAAATCAGTGAGAGAATCGTACGTCTATGGTTGAGTTTCCACATCAGCCAACACTGAAAGGTGAAGCCCTTTGTTCAGATGTAAAATATTTGCGGCGTGAAAATGAGTTGAAACGGAATAACAGCGTGATGGAAGTGATGCGTTTAATTCTTCAAATGAATGACCTGATTTACACTGTAGTGTACGCAGTTAACAGTTCAAAAATGAAGTATGTGCTGAGTCACAAATGCCACTGTGGGTAAAGTGTGTGTGTGTGTTTACTATATGAAACCAGATTCAGTTGAACTAAAACAGTGTATGACGTGATGAACCCCTGTCATTTTCTTACCCCAGTTTCAGAGCTATTCCCCCTCCCCCTCTTTGATCTATGACAGTTAGATGTCAGAGCAATTACACTTGGGGGGATCATCAGTCTCCGTCTGAACTATGGGGTGGACAGGGACACGCAAGTTAAGCGACTGTTTACTCGGTGTCAACTGGAGGACACCACTCTCAGCCTTGGCTGCTGCCGACACTCTCGGCAAATTACGACTCACACATCACATACTGTGATACATCGAGGAGACACTTTAAAAGTCATGTCAGCTCGCTTTCTGCAGAGAGGCAGCAGATGTGATGTGACTGATTATGACCCCCCGCCCCCGTCCCCATTTGAATGGCGATGGACATGAAATGGCTTATTAAGAAGAGGGATTACAGTAAATCCTCATATCATGCAGCGAGCGATAAATGACAACGAGACACTCGACTTTGTCCGGACACTTTAATAATAAAAAAAAAAAAAATGACGCAGAATCCAAACAGACCTCAGTCGTTTGCGCTAAATCTAGAACGGATGAAATGATTCTCCGCTCGTGAGCACGGCAGACACCGAACTAAGCATTCAGCAGATTATTTATGGAACAAAACAGCTGCCAGCGGCGTATATTTCATCTGAGCACTCTCTGCTTGCTTTAAATTAGGCCATGACGCCACCGTAAGAGACATTAGAGAAATGAATGCTGACCATAGGGAGCGGGGTCTGTGTTAACATTGATGATTCACTACCGATAGTTCAAATGAGATCACGCCCTCTGTGCCTGAAATGATGAGTGTGCTGCTGCAGCTGCAGCCACGTGCTGCACAGGTCCAGTAAAAAATCCACAATGACCTTCCTCCGTTTTTTCATAATCGCTCTGAAATCCGCAGTAAACCGAGGAGGTCGTCGGGTCAACACAACAACCTACTCATAAACCCCTCCCCTACATGTCTGAATCTAAAGCAGCAGCGTAGACGCGCCCCTCACCTTGCGGCCGTAGTTCTTATGTTGTCATACCTCAGTTTTTGTTTCGTAGCTGTCAACAACTACACAACCCTCATTTTCTGGGCTGTGAACACAGATAACACACACACAGTTTCCTTGGACGTCTGCCTTAGTAAAAATGAGCTGACGGACTACCAACAATCCAACCCTTTAACCTGTTACTAACCAGCAAACATTTTCTTAATATTTCAAAGCTTAATATTATAAACATGAGAAATGAAATTTGAAATAAAACCCACATCAGTGGTGTTTGTTTCTTATTATGTCTCTTTTATCTGTAGCCTTATGAGTTCCTTAAAAAAAAATGTACGTGCTATAACATAGTGCATTCACCGCTAATACTACAAATCCGGCCGGTATATAGGGGTTATATACTGGCGGGCCAACTCTAGTACACATTTGATATGATTTCGCGGGCCAAATGTATCTACACTGTGGGCCAGATTTGGTCCCCGGGCCTAAGTTTGATAAAGAGGAATGAGCAGCGTTAAATAATAAAACTAACAAACTCAGCATAATGCCAGGAAATCGTCGATAAGAGGACGTCGGTGTAATAGAGACAATGACTAACCTTTGGTTTTATAAATTGCAAACGCCCACAAAATTAGAAAAGTTCACAGAGTGTTCATTTAAGTGCTGACCTTTTGGGTTTGCTGATCTGTTAACGAACAAAACAAGGATCTAAAACCGAAATTATTTTTTGCGGATTACTGCTTTCTCGTGTTTGTTCAGAGTCAGAAAACAAACACCCCGACCAAACGGGTGCAACAGGAGGCAGCAGAGGCTTCCAAAACGCATGTGTTTGAGTCCTTGTTGTTGATGTTTGGGATCCAAACACAGAGTGTTAAATGAAAAGCATTCAGCTGCGTCCCTTTGACAGATGTGTGTTTTACGGACAAAGACAAACAGTCAAAGCAGATTACCAGGGATAGAGGCGGGGGGTTCCTCCCCCAACCACCCCCTCTCACACGGGCACAGATACATAAATCCACACTTGATTTTACAGTAGGACACTGACCTGGTCTAAATTCCACGCCCCTCGGCGTAGTTTAGTGTCAGCGCCGTTCTTTTATCGGGCTTTATGACTTACAGCTTCCTCTCAGCCATCGTTCAACATGTGACTTCTCTCCGGTCTTTTTCTGGCTGTGCTGTGTTAGCTTGCATCACACCACCTACACTCACATACTGTTAGAGTTGACAGGCCATATGGGGGAAGCAGACACCTCACATCTTCTCAAGGAAGGGAGGAGGAATATGAAAGCGAGAAAGACGGAGAGGAGGGAGAGGTTAAATCTGCCTACCTGCTGAAAACCGACAACAAGAGCGAAAGAGGGGGGAGGAGGAAGGGTGTGTGACAGACGAGGGATGTGAGAGAGAGAGAGAAAAAAAATGATGCTAATAAAATCAAATAACATTGTGACAGAAGGAGCAAAGTGAAAAAATGATGCTAATAAAATCAGATAACATTGTGACAGAAGGAGCAAAGTGAGAAATAAAGGAGATGGCAGCGACAATAAGGCGGCAGCAGACGGCAGACTAAAAGTAAACGGCAGAGAAAGAGAGGCAGATGGAGAACGTCGCACTTCCAGGTGGCGCAGTCGGACAGGTAAACAGGAACGTGGACGGACAGGAGAGCAGTTGGGTCGCAGAGACAATGAGATCAGTTGAGGCGTCAATCAGTACTCCGCCATAAGCCTACGCATTTTTTTTTCCCCCATCACATTTACCAAACACCGGCCTCTCACAGCATAAAAGAAGCTTTGTTCAAAGAAAATATTTTCGTGAAGCATCCTCCACAGAATAACCTTGTGCTGTGCATGGAGGGAAAATATGCTGAGCTGCACGTAGTGCGCACGAAAGGCTATTAATATCAAATGTGAAAGGTTCCAACATTAACTGCAATTTAGCTTTACTCTAATAACCTCTAACGCCTTCGGGGCGGGGAACTTTCCCCATTAATGATATTAACAAACTTCATGAGTGAAAGCGTAGAGAAAGTCATTTCTTAAAAAGCGAATGTCACAATATCGTCACCCGATTTTACATTCAGCTTTAAGATATGAAAAGATATCGGCTGCTAGTTAAAACACAACCAGTTATATCCTCCTGCTGCTGCTGCTCTGGTCACTAAAATCAGCTTTGCATATAAAATTTTAGAACATGTCTGTCCATCCCTCTGGGAAACGCACTAATCACTTCACCCTCTGGATTCAACAGTGTGGATGGAAATGGTTTCCCTCGCAAGAAGAAAGAGACACTTAGCTCATGTCGTCTTAAGTCAGAGATCAGAAAGCTCACCTTAAAAATCAAAATCTAATATTCACCTATCCCCTCCGGGCGGCGTTGTGGGGATCAAATAAATGAAGCAGGTCACGGGATATCTGTTAGGGTAAAAAGGATGTAAAACCAAAGTCTGATAACTGACACGGTGACAGGTTTGATCCCCTAGGCCTTCTTGAGCAAACATCAATCTTCTGTCACTTCCTTTAAGTGAGGTGAGATTCCATATTGGAGAATAATCCAAGGGGTTATGGTGTTCTTACACATGCAAGCTTGATATTAGGGTGCATGAGGTAATTTTTTTTTCACAGATCGTAAAATAGAGAGCAGTGAAATGGCTGCGCAATATTTAAAGTGGAAAAAATCTTGTATCTTGTATATGTTCTATTTAATTGTCCTCGGTCAAACGTAATAAATATCCAAGTCAGAGATGTGAAAAAATGTTATGTAATAGAATACAATATCGAATTATTTCAATGTATTTACTTAGTATTTAGCGCTGATCTGTTTACAGTCCTCAGATACTGACAGGAACTGAAGAAAGACACAAATCTTATTTAACAGCACAGAGTTTCTCACTTTTTTTAATTTGCATAGCATTTTTCTGCCACCTACTGAAGGGGATTTAATTTTTCTGCAAGTCACTGACCTATTGATGGAAGTAAAGGAAATATTTTCACTAAATAAATTGTTCTCAGACCAGTGTACCACGG